TTTTGCTTTATTTTCATTTACTGATTAATTTTCGCTGGTTTTTTTTTTTGTTTGACCCTCTGATAATTGTTTTGTTGTTGTGATGGAATTAGGGTTCTGTGCGACTCTTAAATCATCCGTTTGAGCGCTGCGCATCCCATCGTCTTGACTGTGAGTCTTCGTTTCTTGAATTTACAGAAGTGATGGAATTAGGGTTTCTTTGTTCGTTTTGTAATTTTTTTTTGGTGGGGGCCGGTCTTCGTCTTCGCGGGTTCAAAAAAAAAAAAAAATTGAAATGTTGGGCAATAGATTATTCACTTGTAGTTACATTTGTTTATCTTGTGTCCCAGTGGTGAAAGTTTGATGTTTTGGGTGAGTTTTTGTTGTGGTCGATTTTTCGTTTTTCAGTTATTATATCCCCTCCGAACACATCTGTTATTTTATGAGATTTAAATGAATTAATTTTCGAAGTTTTTTCATAATTTGGGTTACAATTGGGGAATGTACTTAGTTTTGGTTATAGAGATGTAAGAAAAGGAAGTACTGTTTAAGTGGGCTATTGTGTGCAATCGGAATTGATGTGTCAAAAACCATGACATGGTGTTCTGTCTTCGAAATCTCTGATGTGTTTTTACCAGTGAAGAGCCCATGATTTACTTAGAATATTTGCACGTGCCGAAGGCCCAACCGGTGTTTTCCTTGCTTACTGCTACTTGTCTCTAATACTAAATAGACAGAATTTGTTGAAGATAATTACTGATAAACAAACGAACATGAAGTGTGTGAGGGTGACTAGTTATATAATATCTGCCTTTTGTAACTGCAAAAATTTCGTCTCTCCAGCATCATTTATGTTAGTTAGTTAGGGTTCATGAAAATGGATGCATGTATTCCTATTGACGAGCTATATTCATTTGTTAATCTTGAATCTTTTGGATTGTTTCTTTTACTTCAATTTTGTTTTCTAGGAAAATTATGTGCTTGGCATGCTATCTCTTACAAATGAATGCCCTATTAATTAATGGTTTGTAAATTTATCAGGTAACATTTTGATAAAAGGCTAATTGGGTAATATACAAGATGTCGTCATCACCATATGTTAAGCTTGGCAGTCGATCACTTGATCAGTGGAAGGTCACTGAGCTGAAGGAAGAACTGAAGAGACGTAAATTAGCAACTAAAGGTTTGAAAGAGGATTTGGTGAAGCGATTAGATGAAGCAGTTCGTATTGAAAGAGAAAGTGTCATTGAGTATGCAGACATCGATGCTTCCCAATCTGACTTACCTTCTGAAAAAGCAGAGCCAGAATCTAAAGTTTCCGCAAAAGCTAAGGATTTTACGGTTGAAAAGGCAGATGAAAAGTCTGATCATGGGATTGGTAATCACGGAGGTTCACTGGGTGAAGACAATAAAACGGACTTAGTGCAAGAAACCAAGATTGATGGGCTCGAAGGGGAGCAGATTGCTGAATTTGCTGCTGTGGAAACTTCTGTTATCGTGAGTGAGACGGTCGAGAATTTGGCACCTTCGAGTGGGTCCCAGTTGCAAGTTGATGGAATAAACGAGGATGGAGGTTTTACTTTAAGGTTGCCACATTCACTGGACGATGCTATTCTTGAACAGAAACGGGATACACATTCGACTCAGATTAACAATGAAGCTATGCATTCAACGGTTCCAATGGAAACTGATGAATCCAAGTGTCTCCAACCAGACCAGAGTGTCCAACCATTGAAGTATCAGGTATCTGAGGTTGACCCTGATTTAGGGTTTCAAGTAACATCTGATTCTGTTTCTACTGAATCTGTCTCCATTATTGAGAAAAATGAAATAAAGGTAGATGTAATTACTGACAATGTCCAATTAGAACTAGATGTTAAGCATGAGATGGCGCAGCCTTCACCCAGCAGTGCTGTCCTAGACGGCGGCCTATCTCACTCAATGGGTGTTGAAGAACCAATCGACAAAAAAGATTTTGGAGAGTCAAATGAAAAAAAAGATCTTGGAGAGAGGTTCGAAGAAAAAGATATTGGAGAGCCAATTGAGAAAAAAGATATCGAAGAGCCAATTGAGAAAAAAGATTTTGGAGAGCTAATTGAGAAAAAAGATTTCGAAGAGCCTATTGACGAAAAGGTCCCTATGGAAGCCACTAATGGAAGTACTCCAGAAATTGTTGTTATCTTCAACAATGTTGACGGTGGAGATTTGGGTTCTGCTGAAAAGCTGAATTTAGATAGGAGTTCTGGTGATGATTCCATGGAGGAGGATGTATTGGAGAGTAAGCAAATGGAGTACAAGTCTGATATAATCAGTGATGATGTAGAGAAATCTGGAATGCCAATCGTGAGAGAGGATGACGATGTCGATGTTGTTGGTCATGATAAACCGGTTGAAAGTAAGGATCCTATTGTTAACAACGCGACAGTCTCTACGCTGACAACTGTGAAAAGGAAGTTTCATGGTACGAGTTATATATATATGTAATAATCCTTATTTATTTATTTTTTTTTTTCTTCTTTCCGTTTTTTAGTAACATCTCATTAACAGGATTAACCTCTATCTGCATTTATTTTAGTAATAAGTTTCTAGAGATATGCTCAGCATGGGAACTTAGATTATTGTTTATATGCATTTTTTTGTATCGCGAAGGATTGGATATCTTACTTATGCTTTTGGTTCCTTACTGACATACACGATAAACTATTTTCCAAACAATTTATATTATTGCATATTGAACATGCTTGAAGTAGCCTTGAGTTAGTATTTCACTATTTCTAAATGAAGCTGATTCATCCACCTACATTGGCTTTTGGTACAAAGAAGATGATTGAGTTCGAGGTTCCT